CCCGAATACCGTCGCCTTCAGTGGCCATGGTTCAACAACAGCAGCCCCAGCAGCAGCAGCAACAACAACAACAACAATCGCAGCTTCCATCTTCTGCCTCGGCAGCAGTTGCCCTCTCCGACTGTGGCCCTCACCCGAATGGCCATCAGCTGGCGAGCAGCTCACCCGACAGTGCCAACAACAATCACCCCCACCACCACTTAAAGTCAGTGGGACCATCGTCCGTGATCACCAGCACCAGCACCACCACTGCAGCAGCATCAATGGCAGCCCTCTCACCTGAAGCAGCATCCCTCTCCACTAGTCCAGTCGTCTACGGAGAGCTGATCATTCTAGGGTAAGAATGAGTCTCTACAAGTTAGTACATTCTTGGTCAATAGAACTAATCTCATCTTCTTCCAGGTACAACGGCAGCCTGCCGCAGGGCGAAAAGGGCCGTCGTCGGTCAAAGTACCAGCTGATGAGGCGACTGGCGGCGAATGGCATCAAAAAGTCGAAGCACTACTCGGTGAAGCAGCCGCAGACTTCCAAGGTAACTCATATTAACTTTCGTTTAGCAGACACTAACACCGCACTCCTCCCTAGGCCATCCAAGACAAGGACCTGCACTCCATCTCCTTCACCCTCTGTCGATCTCAGGCGATCATCGTTGAATATCAGCACGACGAGGAGACGGACATGTTTCAGGNTTGCCCTTTGCCTAATCCTCTCCTCCTCTCCCCTCAGATTGGCCGCTCCTCAGAGAACCCCATTGACTTTGTTGTGATTGACACTGTGATGCTCGACCCGAGCCGGAGCAGCAGCGCCCACAGCTCCTCCTCGCAGCACCGAGCTGCCTTCAACGGCAATGGCCACCACAACCACCATTCCCAACAGCACCACCCACATCAGCCGCACAACAGCAACCACAGCAGCAGCTCCGACTACCTGAGCGCGCCCTCGACGACGGCCATGGCCACCGGTCATCCCTTCATTTCGTCTCCCCCGAAGCCGGTGCAGCAGTCGACCATCTCCCGCTTCGCCTGTCGCATCCTCGTCGACCGCCGTCCGCCGTACTGCGCCCGGATCTACGCCGCCGGCTTCGACTCCTCGAAGAACATCTTCCTGGGGGAGAAGGCGACCAAGTGGCAGGCCAACGGGGAGATCGACGGACTGACCACCAACGGCATACTCATCATGCACCCCAAGAGGCCCTTTCTCAGCAGGAGGACCTCCAAGCCCGACCAGCAGCAGCAGCAGCCGCCACCAGACCTGGATGAGGTGGGCCTGCTCTTTGGAGAGCAGCTGCACCTCGGAAGTAATGGGACAGGACAGCCACCACCACAACCACCACCAGGACAAGGTCACCTGGGCGGCGTCTGGCGGGAGGTGTCCGTCTGCGGCGAGATCTACTCGGTGCGGGAGACGCGGTCCGCCTCGCAGAAGGGCGTCCGCATCGAGGCGGAGACGAACGTCCTGCAGGACGGCACGCTGATCGACCTGTGTGGGGCGACGCTGATGTGGCGCAGTGCCGAGGGCCTGAGGCGGTCACCGACCAGGCGCCACCTCGAGGAGATGATCGACGCGCTGAACGCCAGTCGGCCGCAGTGCCCCGTCGGCCTCAACACGCTGGTCATTCCGAGGAGGGCGTCAGCAGGGGGCGGCGTCTGTGGTCAGCTGGCGGCCAGTCTGGCGGCGGGAGGCAGTGTGGACGACGAGAAGCAGCCGTACGTGTACCTGAACTGCGGCCACGTCCAGGGATACCACGACTGGGGACACGTCAAGGCGGACGGGTCGGCCA